GTGGAACCAGTATACCTGCCCGTGTTTGTGATGTTCATTTTCTAAGATTACCATTCTTTCTTTGCAATTTATAATCTACTTTGCAAACTCACTCTCTAGTGTTTAAGTGTAAAGCTTTCACAGATTTTTATAAGAACGTACTCTATTCTTAAGGGTCACAATCCTACACTTGATATATATAAGCAAGGTATCAGAGTAAGGTGAAAGATGACATCATCAAGTACATTAAATACTTCACAATTCAAAGAGGGACATTCCACACAGCGACCACCTCTCTTTGACGGCACAAACTATAACTATTGGAAGTGTCGGATGAAGATCTACCTCCAATCTCTTGGCTATGAACTTTTGAATATAGTAGATACTGAATTCACAAGGCCAACCACTCCATACACCAAATGGGCAGTTATACAAAGAACAAATGTGAATTTGGACTCTAAGGCGATGAATGCACTGTTTTGTGCCTTGGACAAGAACGAGTTTAATCGCGTTGTCTACTTGCAATTCAGCCCATCAAATTTGGCATACATTAGAGGTAACACACGAAGGTACAAATAAAGTTAAAGAATCTAAAATCTCAATTCTTATACACAAGTTTGAGTTATTCAAAATAAAACAACATGAGATGATCACTGAAATGATCACAAAATTCACCGACATCACCAACTCTCTAATTGGTCTTGGAAAAGAATACACACAATTAGAGATGGTGAGAAAAGTTCTTAGTGCACTTATATCGGAATGGGAGAAAAAGACGACCACAATTGAAGAAGCCAATGACCTCTCAACACTTACCCTAGAAGATCTTGTTGGGAATTTAATGGCATATGAAGTACAACTTCAAGATAAAAGGGAGGGAGAACAACCAAAGAAGAAAATCATTGATTTAAATGCATCTTCTGACAGTAATGAATCAGATGAAGATGATGAAGACATTAATGTTCTCTCAAAAAAATTCAAAAAGTTCCTTATCCAAAGTAAGTATAAAAATGTTAAAGATACTAACAATAATTTTATTTGTTATGGATGTAATAAGCCAGGACACATGAAGAAGGATTGTCCTCTTCTAAAGTCAAAATCAAAGTCTACAAACTTCAACAAGTCACAAAATAAGAAGAAAAAGGCTTTGACAATAGCATGGGATGATAGTTCTTCCGAAGAAGAAGAAGAACAAAAAGAGGAATCCGCTCACTTGTGTTTTATGGCACAAGAAGATGAGGTATATGATAATTTTAATAATGATGAATTATTAGAAGCATTCAATGAACTTTATGTTAAATATAAGGATTTGAAGTCTAATTATAAGTTATTGAAAACTGAAAATGAAAAATTAAACTTAGAATTAGTAACTTCAAATTCTTCACAAGTTGAAAAATTGAATGAACTAAATAATAATTTATTTTCTAAAAATAAATTATTGACTAATGATAATATTTATCTAAAATCTGAATGTGATAAATTAATAGCTCGTATTTCAGATTTAGATAAAGAAATGTGTTCTCTTAAACTCAAATATGAAGAGTTGTTTTTTAATGTGAACAAATTCAACAAAGAAAAAGAAGACTTGAGTAATTTATTATCTTTTCAAAAGTCTTCTAATCAAAAGTTTGTATTATGGTATGTTCATAAGAAAAATAAATATGTTAATAGAACACATTTTGCATCATCTCATAAAGTATCTTTGTATAAGAAATCTATGTACATTTGGGTATCTAAAGATACTTGTTTAAATGAAAGAGATGATTATATTTCAAGTTTTAAGAAAAATATATGCAATTCAAAGAATTATAATTATGTTAATAAATGGAAACCAAATTCCAAGTGGATTTGAATTCCTAAGGGCTAATCCTAATGATATAATATAAAAGGGGTACCAAAGTGCTTAATGTTTTTATTAAGGTACACGGGAAAAGAAAAATGAATTTAACTAGAATTATATTTATTTCTTTTTGCTAATGACAAAGGGGGAGTTATATAGAAAATTTTAAAATTTAAATTTTTTTTACTAATGCTTTGATGCAAGGGAGTAAAAGATTTTATCTAATGATTTCATGCAGGGGGATTAAAATTTTTAATATATAATAACATATATTTGTCATCATCAAAAAGGGGGAGAATGTTAGGAATTTTGACCCCAAGATTAGTTTATTTTGATGATAACAAATATTATATGTTGTGTGTATTATGTGCTAACATTTGTTTTGCAGTATCAGAGCTATATCAATAATTATATTCAAAGAGATACTCAAAGCATAGATGAGTTCAAGGCAAAATATATATATATATATATTTGTCATCATAAAAAGCGGGTGAACGTTAGGAATCTTGACCCCAATATTAGTTTTTTTTTATGATAACCAATATTATATATTGTGTGTATTATGTGCTAACATTTGTTTTGCAGTATCGGAGCTAAATCAACAATTATATTCAAAGAGATACTCAAGACATAGATGAGTTCAAGGTAAAATGAAGCAAAGAAGAAGATATACTTTATTGTTAAAATGTAGTTTTACATTTTCTTTGCTTAGAAATGTGTACAAGCCTTGATCACTCACACACATACACACACATAGTGTTAGAACATACTAACACATGCTTAGTGTGTTGGTTAACAATAGAAATCCTCTATGTTAACCATTAGAATTAATAGATATTGATTGAAACTTAAAAATATCATATAGCTCATATTTGGCCCTTAATAGTTGACTACAACAGACACAGACAGAATATCAGTTTCTGTGTCATTACAGACTAGTCGACTACTAGGCAGTATAGTCGACTAATAAGAGTTGAATCAGAATTCCAGACTTTTTATTTTTACAAAATAGTCGACTAATGAATATAGTAGTCGACTACTAAGGAATTATATGACTACACAGAGTCTGTTTGAACTCAGAGTAGTCGGCTAATAATACTTGTAGTCGACTACTCAGACAGTTTTTCTGACTATTTGACATTTGAATAAGTGACTGTTTATAGCCGTTTTTGGATGTTTCTTAGGTTTGAAAACTTGTCATTTCAGAGGCTATAAATAGGTTAACATGTCAGAAAACAACTACCAAGACTTGCACTTGTAAAATTCATATATTGTGCAAATTAACTCTTAAAACTTTTAGTTTTTCAATCTGTTTTTCCATAAAAGAGAGTTTATGATATTGCCTTTGTTCCATTCATTCTTAGATCGAGCTTGTTTAGACAATATTCAGATAATTAAAAAGATTAATAAGCCATTGTTACACGTTCACTACATATTCAAGGTTTATAGGATTGGAATTGTACATCGCTTCAAAGAAAGATTCTCTTGGTTTGTGAGAGGTTGATCTCTTGGTATAGAGGTCGGTTTACAATTGGCATGATGTTATTAATTGGTCTTGCAATTTGCATGATCTTGCAAATTGGTCAGGTTTGCTGTTTGATTTTATAAGGTTTCAAAATCATAGTGAAACTCTCAAGTGAGGTTTGCTTCGGGACTGGATGTACACCGGGTGGTGGAACCAGTATACATGCCCGTGTTTGTGATGTTCATTTTCTGAGTTTGCCATTCTTTCTTTGTAATTTATAATCTACTGATAAACATGAATATTATCTATATTTTGACTATGTTTCACCTACGGATTCATTGTTATTTGATGTATTTCCTTGCACTTTTGCCCTGTTAAGCTCCCTAGTTCTTGTTTACTGCTCTATTTATATATTGTGTAGGAATTACTGGAGTTTAGCGCAGATTCGGAGTCAAGAAGGAGTCAAGGAATGCAAGGAAAGTGGCTACACGGTCACCCAGTGTTCAACAACACAGGCGTGTTGATTACAGAAGAAAAGCCCAGAAAGCAGAGCGAAACAGAATTAAACACGGCCTGGTCGTGTCGATCTACATAGTCGTGTTGGATGACAGCAGTCAGTTATCATGCGATCTGGAGCAATATTTGAAGTTATCTTTCAACACGTTTTTTCCAGAATTAAAAGGGAGACGCCCTGAAGCACCTGACCAGAGACCAAAGGCTGGAGATCTTGATTTTTCTTTCTTCTTCTCCTCTTCTTCTCTCTAAAAACTCTTAGATTAGTTTTCTTTTGATTTGGAACCTGCTGTTTGTGGAGAATTGTGTGCAACTTCAACACTACGGTTTATCTTTCTGATCTATCTCAATTTCCAGTTTATGATTATGATCTTATATATTGTTATCATATTTTCTATTTCAATTATGTGTGAGTAATTGTCTTATCTGGGATTGAACTAGGTTCGGCCATGGTTATGAATTAATGAACTGATTGTTGTTGTTGTTGACTGTTCGATTTGCATTATTCAGTTACTAGTATCTAATTGCCTAGGGTTAATTCAATTGGCCACTGATTTAATTCTTTTAGGATGTTGATTTGAACTAAAAGGTTAGATTGACGCCGGAAAATAGTAATTGAACAAGAATTAATTAATCACGAAAGTAGGTTAATTATTCTTAAGAACATGAGGGATTAACAAGAACTTAATGGGTTTAATTTGGTTTAACACTATGAAAATAGGTTGTTAGGTTGAATTAGGCATGACTTTTAGTCGTCGAAAGAGACTAATAGTTATCATAGGTTTAATGCATTGCGAGATTCGATAACAAATGATTAATTTATTGATTCGAACCAGAGTTGAAACCGAAGTTCAATCCTAGATCCTTTTAATTGAGTGAATTCGTCGTTGATACTAGCTAGCGTGTTTGATATTGATAATCAAAAATCATACTTTTTAACACAATTGGTTTAGATAGTCACAAAACAGTGAAAATCAGTAATTAACAACGAAGTCCCTGAGGATACGACCTTGCATCGCTACAACGATATCCGTGCACTTGCGGATTTGAGTGAACAAGTTTTTGGCGCCGTTGCCGGGGACTTCGGCATTGTTAATATTGACTTTTTCATTGTTTGACTAGACTAGACATTTTCTTTCATTTATTTTATTTTTATTTTTATTTTTATTTTTATTTTTTTGACTTGTTTTTTTTAGTGCAGGCACCCTTGTATGCCCAGATCCTTACGACTTGGAGAACCAATCGAGTGTGATCCCGAGATTGAAAGGACCTTGCGTCATATTAGGAAGAAGGCACGAGAAACAAAGGATAATTTGAAAAGCAAAAACACCATGGGAGACCAAGAAAACCAAGGCAATCAAGACCGATCCTTGAAGGAGTTTGCATCACCAACCACCCATAGCTCCCAATCTAGCATCTTGAAGCCTAATGTTGCTGCCAACAATTTTGAACTCAAGCCTTCGCTCCTCTCCATGGTTCAGCAAAACCAATTTGGAGGCACTCCAACCGAAGACCCAAACCTCCATATCTCAATCTTTCTAGAATATTATGACACCCTGAAGATGAATGGAGTGTCGGATGATGCATTCAAACTAAGGTTGTTTCCCTTCTCATTAAAAGACAAGGCAAGGGCTTGGCTACAATCACTTCCACCGGGCTCCATCACTACATGGGACCAACTCTCAGAAGCGTTCCTTGCTAAGTACTTCCCTCCGAGCAAAACAGCCCAATTGAGAAATCAGATAACAACCTTCACTCAAAAAGAAGGGGAGTCATTGTATGATGCATGGGAGAGGTACAAGGATCTTCTAAGGATGTGTCCACATCACGGGTTGGAGGATTGGCTCATAATTCACACTTTCTACAACGGTCTTCTCTACAACACAAGGATGACCGTGGATGCTGCAGCGGGTGGTGCATTGATGAACAAAAGTGTACGAGATGCAAAACAACTCATAGAGGATATGGCACAGAATCATTTCCAGTGGTCAGGTGAGCGCTCTTTACCCAAAAAGAGCGGGAGGTATGATGTAGATGCATTAGACCACATTGCTTCTAGAGTAGATGCTTTATTTCAAAAATTTGACAAGATGAGCATGAATTCAGTAGCATCTAACTCTACTAACTGTGAAATATGTGGTATCATTGGACATTCTGCTGTGGAATGTCAGATTGGAAACTCCCCTTTCTCTGATGCACCACTATCTGAATATGTTAATTACATGAATAATTTTAATCAGAAAGGGGATCCTTTTTCAAATACGTACAACCCGGGATGGAGAAATCATCCTAATTTAACCTACAAAAATCCATCACAGAACCCAAATCCTCACTCTAATTTTCGTCCTCCTGGTTTTCAAGCTCCTAGACTCCCTTACCCTAGTCCCCAAAAGTCCAACTTAGAGAGCTTGATGGAAAATTTTGTGACATCCCAGAATAAACAGAATGAAGAATTTAGAAATCAGAATAGGATCATGAATGATGCTATTAGGAACCTAGCCTCTAAAGTTGAATCCTTAGCCACCCACAACAAAATGCTAGAGAATCAGGTCACTCAACTAGCCCAGCAATTTAACTCTTCTTCCAGACCTTCTGGGATGTTTCCTGGACAACCTGAAACCAACCCCAAGGAATCTATCAATGCCATTACACTTAGGAGTGGAAAAGAGCTAGAGACACCAATGATGAGGAGTGATCATAGGGATGTGATTGATTAGAGTGAGAAGTTGGTGACAAGTGAGAAAGATCATATTGATGAGAAAGGGGAGAAGGTTGAGAGATATGTAGCACCTGCACCTTATAAGCCTCCACTACCCTTCCCTCAAAGGTAAGTTAAAGCTAAGTTGGAAAAACAGTTTGGGAAATTCATAGAAATATTAAAAAAATTGCATATTAACAGCTAAGTTGGAAAAACAGTTTGGGAAATTCATAGAAATATTAAAAAAATTGCATATTAACATCCCATTTATTGAAGCCATTTCCCAAATGCCATCCTATGCCAAATTCTTAAAGGAGATTCTATCAAATAAGAGGCGATTAGAGGAATATGAGACTGTAGCCTTGACCCAAGAGTGTAATGACATCATACATAATAAGCTACCACCTAAGCTTAAAGATCCTGGCTCATTTTCAATCCCTTGCACAATTGGTGATATGTCAATTAATCGTGCTCTATGTGATCTCGGTGCTAGTGTCAGTCTTATGCCATTGTCTATATGTAACAAGTTACAGATGGGAGACTTGAAGCCTACTACTATTTTCCTCCAATTGGCGGATCGATCGGTTAAACGTCCGGTAGGTATATTAGAGGATGTACCCATCCAGGTTGGTAAATTCTTTATTCCAGTTGATTTTGTTATTCTTGAAATGGAGGAGGATTCTCAAATCCCCATTATATTGGGAAGACCTTTCCTTGCTACCGCTGGAGCGATAATTGATGTGAAGAATGGAAAGCTCTCTCTCAATATAGGGGATGAAAAGGTGAATTTTGATTTGTTTTCTGCTATGAAGTTTCCACTAATTGATGATACTTGTTGCAGGATTGACACGATTGACATGGTGGTTAGAGAAGATTTTACCAGAGATATCTCAAGTGATCCACTTGAGAAATGTTTAGTAAAGAATGGGGTACCAGATGATGATGATCAGGAAATAACTTCCTATGTTACAATGCTTGATGAAAAGCCAACCTACACCAAAACCACCTACATCAAAGAACCTGATATAGTGGTCGAAATTGCAAGGGGGCTGAATGACCAGGTTGTGTCTGTAAACACAGCTGTGTCAAAAAGCAGCAGAAACAGCCCAGAACAGGTTTGTGAAGAGAAAACTGCACCTGGGAAGATGCTGAATAATGATTCCACACGGCCATGGTGTGTCCGTAGACACAGTCGTGTCAAAAAGCAGCAGAAGAAGTCTAGAACCAGTCCATCTCCACCAGTTGAAGTGGAACATAAGGCACATTGGGCTATCAAGAGCATTCATTTAGATTTGAAAGAATCAGGGGAACAGAGAAAGCTTCAACCAAATGAACTTGATGAATTGAGATTGGATGCGTATGAGAATGCCAAGATTTACAAAGAAAGAACAATGAAGTGGCATGATCAACATATCCTCCGTAAAGAGTTTACAGAAGGAGACTTGATACTTCTACTTAATTCCCGACTCAAGTTTTTTCCGGGCAAACTTTGTTCGAGGTGGTCTGGACCATTCCAAGTGTGCAAGATATACCCATTTGGGGCTGTCGAAGTATGGAGTGAAGCCACGGGATCTTTCAAGGTCAATGGACAGCGATTAAAGCATTATTTCACAGGAACTCTGATCGAGAAGTTGGGTACTTTTACCCTTCTCGATTCATCATCATTGTGAGCATTGAAGGGGTCGGGCTCATGACCATAAACAAGCGCTTCTTGGGAGGCAACCCAAGTTTCTCTTTCATTTTATTTTTCCTTTTAGTTTTTTTAAATTATTAGTTTTCATGACATGTAATTAAGTTTCCGTGAACTGGTGTGTAGGTGAATGACAAAAGGAAAATAGGTAACAGAGAGTTCAAGGCTAAAGAGGACAGAAGGAAAAATAGTGAAAACACAGTTTACACGGCTAGGCCGTGTCCACCAACACAGCCGTGTAGCAGTCGGGACAGTCTTCATCTCATTTCCAGAGTCTACCACACCCTGGGAAGGCATCCACCACACCCGTGGCCAAAGAAAATAAAAAAAAAATAAAATTCCAGACTCATTTTCTGAAGCCCAATAACTCCTGTGCACGAATGCGGTCGACCGGGCCGGTCGACCGCCACCCAATTCTGCTGAAACCCGAACTTTCTGCCAATTCTAACCCCCCCCTTACAAACCACCACCGACTGACCACCCCACCTCTTCGAGCAAACAGCCGCATCCCTTCCCTTCACCACCCTAAACCACCGTCCTCTTTCATACTTCACCATCAAAATCGCCGACTAACAACTTCCCCAAAACCACTTCCCTCCCCAACTTTGATTCCACCACTCAACACTTCCGCCTCTCTCTCATTCATCACATCCAACACCACCAAATCGCCAGGCGTGCCTCCAACGCCAAGACACCGCCCTTGTCATTACGCCCAGAGCAACGCCAACATTCATAGACCAAATTCTTTCATTCAACATCTGAAACTTCCAGATCTGTTCTCATCATGGACACCCGCTTGGACAATTTTGGCAATACACTTGGAACAATGAATGACCAGAAGCAACATATGCACCAATGGTCACTACTTCATGGCTATCCACCTCCTCCACCACCACAATGAGCAGTAAGTCCCTTTTCTCTTTTTTTCAGTTATTTACACATTGGGGACAATGTGCAATTCAAGCATGGGGGAGTGGGTTTGTTGGGATGATGTTTCATGTATGCTTTGGTGTTTTTGAGTGCTTGTTTTCTGTGTTGGGATTTTTCATTTAGCTTAAAAAAAAGGAGTACCACTGTTCAGCAAAACCTTTTAGCACGTACATCATTTATTTCACATGCCCCATTGTTAAAAAAAAATCTTTGTTTCATGTTCAGTTGGTTAGGATGTTATCTGTTCGAGTTCCACTTTGTCGATACTTAACTCTAAACATTGGAGAGATAGGAATGGATTTTGGCTCAACCCATCTAATTAAAACCTAAGCTTCTTTGGTGACTTGGAATACTTTTTGGTTACTGGAGAAACACTCGGCCTTGTAAAAAAAAAGTCCTAAAGTCTGTTGCACCGAGTACCTGGCACCGCACCCTCAGAAGTATGGCTGTCACGTCAGTAGGTGTTAATTATGACGGGATTTTCAAAAAAAATGAAAAAAATTGAATAAAATGCAAGGAAACCGAGTGCTCCTTTGAGACCTTAAGTAGGAAGAGTATGACCCATTGTGATGAGATATGTGTCTGTCACAAGGAGTTTTGGGCAATAAATAAAAGAAGGACAAGCAATAATTCAAGCATGGGGGAGTTGATAAACATGAATATTATCTATATTTTGACTATGTTTCACCTACGGATTCATTGCTATTTGATGTATTTCCTTGCACTTTTGCCCTGTTAAGCTCCCTAGTTCTTGTTTACTGCTCTATTTATATATTGTGTAGGAATTACTGGGGTTTAGCACGGATTCGGAGTCAAGAAGGAGTCAAGGAATGCAAGGAAAGTGGCTACACGGTCACCCAGTGTTCAACAACACAGGCGTGTTGATTACAGAAGAAAAGCCCAGAAAGCAGAGCGAAACAGAATTAAACACGGCATGGTCGTGTCGATCTGCACAGCCGTGTTGGATGACAGCAGTCAGTTATCATGCGATCTGGAGCAATATTTGAAGTTATCTTTCAACACGTTTTTCCCAGAATTAAAAGGGAGACGCCCTGAAGCATCAAAGCAGGACCGGAGGCTGGAGATCTTGATTTCCTTTTCTTCTTCTTCTCTTCTTCTCTCTAAAAACTCTTAGATTAGTTTTCTTTTGATTTGGAACCTGCTGTTTGTGGAGAATTGTGTGCAACTTCAACACTACGGTTTATCTTTCTGATCTATCTCAATTTCCAGTTTATGATTATGATCTTATATATTGTTATCATGTTTTCTATTTCAATTATGTGTGAGTAATTGTCTTATCTGGGATTGAACTAGGTTTGGCCATGGTTATGAATTAATGAACTGATTGTTGTTGTTATTGACTGTTCGATTTGCATTATTTAGTTACTAGTATCTAATTGCCTAGGGTTAATTCAATTGGCCACTGATTTAATTCTTTTAGGATGTTGATTTGAACTGAAAGGTTAGATTGACACCGGAAAATAGTAATTGAACAAGAATTAATTGATCACGAAAGTAGGTTAATTATTCTTGAGAACATGAGGGATTAACAAGAACTTAATGGGTTTAATTTGGTTTAACACTATGAAAATAGGTTGTTAGGCTGAATTAGGCACGACTTTTAGTCATCGAAAGAGACTAATAGTTATCATAGGTTAGTCGTTCTTAATGCATTGAGAGATTCGATAACAATTGATTAATTTATTGATTCGAACCAGAGTTGAAACCGAAGTTCAATCCTAGATCCTTTTAATTGAGTGAATTCGTCGTTGATACTAGCTAGCGTGTTTGATATTGATAATCAAAAATCATACTTTTTAACACAATTGGTTTAGATAGTCACAAAACAGTGAAAATCAGTAATTAACAACGAAGTCCCTGAGGATACGACCTTGCATCGCTACAACGATATCCGTGCACTTGCGGATTTGAGTGAACATCTACTTTGCAAACTCACCCTCTAGTGTTTAAGTGTAAAGCTTCCACAGATTTTTATAAGAATACGCTCTATTCTTAAGGGTCATGATCCTACACTTGGTATATATAAGCAAGTCAGACCCTACAGAGGAGAGTTGCCCTTGGATTCATTATCTATATCTTTCTTCATTGTGCTATGCTTAGATTCATCAAATGACAGTTTGTTTCTAAAAAGGGATGTAAGATTTTTCACATGTGCTTAACCGTGTTTGATTGATTGTGTTTCAAACTTATTTTTACAGTGTACTCAAGCTGGTGTTAATTGAGGATTGGGACTAGCTAGTGCCAGGTGTTTACTCATTGTGAATAGTTATGTTAGACGACTAGTTTCAGGTAGACTTCAGTGTGCTGTCTTAGTAAGTCTTCTGAATCGGGTTGTGATTTAAGAGTACTCTTAGAATAGTGAGGAAGCTCCTTGGTGAGAAGGAAGAGTGAACGTAAATTATTACCCGAACCATTATAAAATCTTGTGTGTCATTGGTTGGTTGTTTTTCACTCTTATTTTATTTATTTCGCTGCATATTTTATATTTTTTTAGGGAAAAATGATTGCAACCCTATTCACTTCCCCCTCTAGGTTTACATCTTAGATCCAACAGGATGTTCTAATATGACTTCTATAGTCTTGGTTCCATTCCGGGCTGGGTTATCAAAAATTAAAAAATAAAAAATAAAAATGAAACAATATAATCATACATGACATTGTATTAAGGCAAACTTACACGTAAATACCTTATAGCTTCCCCAGCCTTGCATATATACACTCACTCATTTTTTATAGGACTTGTACCGCGAAGCTTAAAATATTTTCACTTTAATACCTTCTATTATATAAATGTGATAATATGCCTCCTGTAGACATCGAAAATTACCTATAGGTCTCCACGAACAGCTCAGTGTTAAGAAATAACGATGAACGTCACCATCTGGTTCACAGAAGCTTGATTGATGTCGGTGAACGCTTGAAGTAAACCGACGAACTACGTGAAACAACGGAACTTCGGAATGATGAAGATATGAACCGATCGGGAACCTCGTATCGTTCACAAACGGTGAAATACCCTTCGTGTCTCATTTATTCCGTGGATGATTTAATCATTGGGACTTGTAGAACTCCTCGTCAGCTTTCCAACGCACTTTAAATTGCTCAAATCCGAGTTCGGATGAAGAAGTTACGGTGGAAACGGACGAACAGGTATAATGGAGTGTCTCAGGCTGAACTGGGGCACCCGAGGCGTCTCGGCACGAGCGAGACACCCTAGGGTGTCTCAGCCCAGTTTGAGACACCCTGGGATGTCTCCAATGCAGAAATGGCCTCTTGGGCGGTTTTAACCGCCCGGACGTCCGTAAAGCCTATAAATAGAGCCCCCGGGTCCTCATTTTTTGGGATCTGGAGTTTTGGAGAATTGGCGAAGCCCTGTCGGACTGAAGAGTGATCGAGTTCTTCAACGCAAGAGATCAAGAGTCGTCAGATCTGCATCACCCGCATCCGATCCTTAGTATTATCCTGTTGTGATAATTCTAAGAAGAGTAATTATCTCGCTGTTGTCAAGATAAGCGCTTCTGCTTCTAGATTCCTTCGCGGATCGACGAAGTTCTGGACCTGATCTGATTGCCAGGTAGTCCACGGATATCAACGTCCCCGTCACCGGCTAAAGACCCACGCAAGCAAGAAACGACGAACGGATCTTGCGTTATTTTCGAAAAGTTGTAATCTTTCATTTTCTTATTCTTTTTATTGAATATCTTGAATTCTTTGTAAGCGATCCAGATTATAATGAATTCGACAATGAAGGCAACTTTCTCCGAAAACAAACTGGCGACCACAGTGGGAGCCAACAGCATCGCTGCCGAGGCTGTCGTGACGCACCGGCATTCAAGATCCGGGTGAATGAAGAGATCGAATGCGAGTTCGATCAACAAAAGTTTGAAGAGTACCTCTCTTCCTCCTCCTCCAGATCCGCCTCTCCAAACAGGCGTAGGAAGACCTCCTCTTCCAGGAACGCTCGCGGGACCTCAGGGTTGAAGATCCAAGATCCCCTCGTTGCTGCTGCATCCGTGCCCCGTGACGTCCCTGCAACGTCCAAAGAGGTCAAAGCTGCA